AGACTTTGTCTTAAAAAAAAAAAAAAAAGGGCTGAGTGCAGTGGCTCACATCTGTATTTCCAGCACTTTGGGAGGTGGACACGAGAGGACTGCCCGAGTCCAGGGGTTCGAGATCAGTCTGGGCCACCAGGCAAGACCTCGTCTCTACAATAAGTCAAATCAGTGAGGCGTGGTGGCGTGCACCTGTGGTTCCAGCTACTTGGAAAGCTGAGGTGGAAGGACTGCCTGAGCGTAGCAGGTTGCAGCTACGATGGCCGTGAGCATGCCCCTGCACTCCAGCCTGGGTTTCAGAGTGAGACTCCAATTCAAAATTAAAAAAAAAAAAACCGGCCGCGCTCGGTGGCTCAGCCTATAATCCCAGCACTTTGGGAGGCCGAGGTGAGTGGATTGCCTGAGCCCGCAGGTTCGAGACCCGCCTGGGCAACTTGATGAGACTTCATCTCTACAATAAATCAAAAATTAGCCGGGCATGCTCTAGGCCTCGGTTTCCCATCTGCAGTGGCAGACATGGAGCCCTGTGTCCGTGGCTCCCACAGAGTCGGCGCCCCCGCCCATGCCCAGGCCAGCCGTGGCTCCTTACCCACGCGGTGCAGGAAGAGCTTGCCCTTGGCTGGGAAGCTGTAGTTGATGACACAGTCCAGCAACGGGATGTCCAGGCCCCGCGCGGCCAGGTCGGTCACAATGAGGGCGGAGCACTTGCCGTGCATGAACTTGGCCAGGTTGATCTTGCGGGCCGTCTGGTCCAGGGCGCTGTAGATGTAGGTGCAGCTCACCCGCTGGGCCGTCAGCAGCTGCTCAGAGCAAAGGAGGAAAGTAAGAAGGAAGCTGCAGGGGAGAGGAGAGGTCAGGGCAAGGGACAGAGGGTGCCTTGGTGCAGAGCTGAGACTGTGTGCCCTGGAGTCCGGAACCCTGGGCTTGAGCCCAGCTCTACTGGGTGGCCCGTTTGGTATCTTCATTACGCCACCACCCACCTCTCTGCAGGGCTGTCTGGGTACCAGTGATGAAGTGTGCCGAGGGTCCCCTTGGGGACGGGGCAGATGCCACCCCAGGGCACAAGCCTCATCCTGACTCTGTCATGAACAAGCTGTGTAACTTTGAGCAAGTCACTGAACCTCTCTTTCCTCATCTGTAGAATGGGGAAAATACTGCTCCTTCTTTATAGATTTGCTGTGAGGACTACACGAGTTAATATAAATCCGGTGCTGAGAACAGAGCCTAGGAAGGAGGAGGCTCTGGGGTGTGAACTGCTCTTAGGAAATCACGGTTTGTGTGGACCTCACTGCACTCCTGGAGGCAACATGGGCCACCAGCAGCGCCACCGGAGCCACCTGCAAAAACTCCACCAGGGGTCCTACTCTTGTTGCATCTGCAACCTGGTCCGTCGGATCCGGAAATGTAGACCCAGTGTGTGCTTAGTGTTTTCATCAGTAGCGAAGGAGATCGTTTTCCCAAAGTTGGACTAGGTGATCTTTCTCAAATGGATTACCCAAGGCATCCACCCAATGAAAGAAACCATGCTAGCCCTCTGCACATAAAGTTTTTTTTTTTTTAAGATTCTTAAAAACCCTTCAAAAGGCTATGCACAGTAGCTCTTGCCTGTAATCCCAGCAATTCGGGAGGCCAAGGTGGGAGGATTGCTTGAAGCCATGAGTTTGTAACCAGTTTGGGCAACATAGTGAGACCTCATCTCTACAAAAAGTTTTTTTTGTTTTGGAATCAGAGTCTCACTCTGTTGCTCAGGCTCGAGTGCAGTGGCACACTCATGGCCACTTCAGCGTCGACCTGCTGGGCTTAGATGATCCTTCCACCTTAGCCTTCCAAGTAGCTGGAACTATAGGTGTGCGCTACCATACCTGGCTAATTTTTTGATATATTGTAGAGACAAGGTCTCAGCAAGTTGCCCAGGTTGGTCTTGAACCCCTGGGCTCAGGCAATCCTTTTGCCTCGGCCTCCCAAAGTGCTGGGATTACGGGCATGAGCCACCATGCCTGGTTACAAAAAGTTTTTAAAAATTAGCTGGACATGTGGCATGTGCCTGTATTCCCAGATACTTGGGAGGCTGAGGCAGGAGGATCACTTGAGCCCAGGAGTTTGAGGCTGCAGTGAGCTCTGATCATGTCACTGCAGCACTTCAGCTTGGGCAACAGAGAGAGACCCTGTCTTGTCTCTAAACAAAGAAAAAGAAACCTTCAAAAAAATTACTATTTAAAAAGTACTTTCTTTCCCAAAGTAAAAAACTCGTATTCGTTGGTGACCCCAGCAGCTGCACAAAGGAAGCACCATTAAATGCATGTGGAGCAATGAACCCAGTGAACTGTGTCCTCTGATAACAGATCCCAGGTGTGGCTGACAGGGGACAGGCACCGACAGGAGGGGACCTGCAGCCTTACGGACACAGGGACCCACCCCCCCCAGGCTTTGATCTGGCTGAGGATCACACAGCCATCCATGTGCAAAAACACTCTTGGTGCTGTTCAACCAGACAGTACCATATATGGCTTGCTGCATGTGGGTTATGACTCCATTTAAAAAGTGAAACACTTTAGGTTCAGAGACCTGGCCAAAAAAAGAAAAACACGCACTGAACACCAAAAAATTACAGAAAAAGGATAGGTTGGCTGGAATATGCTTCAAAATAACCTGGATGAGGCCAAGTGCAGTGGCTCACGCCAGTAATTCCAACACTTTGAGAGGCCAAGGTAGGAGGACCGCTTGAGATCAGGAGTTCAAGACCAACCTGGGCAACAGAGTGAGACCTCATCTCTACAAATAATTAAAAACACACAAACAAACTAGCCAGGCTGTAATCCCAGCTGTTTGGGAGATTGAGGCGGAAGGACTGCATAAGCCCAGGAGGTTGAGGCTTCAGTGAGTCGGGATCGTGCCACGCACTCTAGCCTGGGCAACAGACTCCAACTCAAAGTGACAGATGACAGTCAGAACTGGCGAGTTGATAACAGTTGCACTAGATAACGTGCACCGGGGAGTTCATCATACTATTTCCGATGTTAACATGTGTTTGAAATTGTTCATAATAAAAAGTTTAAGAGGCTGCGTCCTGAGCCCCGGCCCAGGGCCGTTCTGGTGCTGCCCTCTGGTGGCCACACGCAGAACTGCAGCTCCAAGTTCAAGATGAAGGACCGGAGGGGGCTCTGGACCCCAGGCGCCTTCCCCAGCCCGGGCGCCGTCGGGGCCCTGCTCACCTCGGCGAGGTACTCGGCGTGGTGCTTCGTGGCCACAAACACCACCGTCTGGTCCTGGGGCCGCACCACGTTGCGCAGCAGGTAGAGCAGCACGGCGGCCTTGGCGTCCTCGCGCACCAGGAAGAAGGAGGTCTGCGGGGAGAGGGGCGCGGGCTTGGCTCGCGGGGAACCGGCCGGGGGCCTGCAGGGCCCACCGCACACGTCGGCCGGGACGGGCACGGCGCGGCCTCACCTTGAGCTGCTCGTTGAGCTTGGCGTCCACGTCGAGCCGGATGAGCACGGGTTCCGTGAGGCCTGCGGGAGGCGCGGGCCAAGGGGTCGTGAGGGGCAGGAACCGAGCACCACTC